TACCATCTCACATCAGTTAACTTGAAGGAAATGTTTGAGGGCTAGGGAAATAGTAAATAGCGAACAGGCAATAAAGAAAAATTGGTAACAGTAACACTTACTAATTTATTCCTCGAAACCTTTTTATTCTCAGTTGGAGTTATGGATTGCAATGATTGGATTCAGCTTAGGCTTTGGAGCGATGTTCAGCAAAACCTGGAGAGTTCATGTAATATTTCTCAATGCTAAAACTACAAAAAAGGTGAGTGTATACTGAGCAAACTCTTCAAAGATTCTCTCTTAATCTAAAGTTTTGACAACCTGTTACATTAGTCACGTTAAGTGCTTTCCTTATGAGTTAACTTTTGTACTTGCTCCAGTTTTTTTTTGTTTTTTTTTTTCAGTTTTTCCAATTATCAAATGCTATGTCATTCAACTTACCTTTAGGACAATTGATTTACCCAGGATTGAATAAACTCAAACGATCAACTTTAAAATTGAACATAGATCCAATGTTTTTACAAGGTACTTATATTTCTGCGGGTCGTTGTCAATAAAAAGACAGAGAAAAAGACAAAAAGAGAGGCAGGCATAAAGCATAGGCAGACGAATGAACGAGATAAACAATAAACAACAGAAGTTAAGATAAGTAGAAAGATAGATATATAGGTAGACATATAGATGAATAGATATATGCAACTGCTAGGTAATCTTCATTTCGAAAGATCCCTAGACGCGATTTTTTCTGAATTATTTTCCTTCAGGTTATCATCCGGGACCGTCAGTTGTTTGGTATGGTTGTTGTTCTTCTTTCAATCGATGTCATAATTCTCGTCATCTGGCAGATTGTCGACCCATTGACAAATAAAGTAGAAAACCTGACGCTGCAGGTAAAGAGCAAAAATTTCTAATCAGTTGGTGAGATTTTGAACTCGAGGGAAAGCTTTGACTCGCCTCTCTAGAGAGATCTCTTCCAACGTGCGCTCATGCCACCAAAACCTGAAATGACTTGCAAGTCTGGCCTTTAGAAGCCTAAAAATAGATTTAAACTTTGATAGCTATATTAGGCTTAATTTCCTATTTCATTGAAACATCAACAGGAACTGTATTACATTTCGCCGAGAAACTTAAGAATCGAGGGTTAAGGAAATTAAGGCATGAGACCAGGGTGGCGAAAATCTTTGTCATTCCAAACGTCTAAGTTGGGGCTGTATAGGTGCTAAATTATGTATTTCCTGCACCACTGCAATGGGAAGACTTTATGTTATCAATTCTTGGAAAGTCTAGGACTGTCGTTAACTGTTTGACAGTCTAATATGGCACTGAATAGTGCACATTGACCTTCTACAAGTCATTGAATGCTAAAAATTCATTTTGGCTAAAGTAACTTGGATTATTTTCGAATAATTTTCGAATTGTTCCTATAGGTATCACAAGAAGATGACACTGGCATACAACCGTATATAACCATGTGTACTTGCGAGAACATAACGATATGGCTAGCTTGCATATACGTGTACAAAGGTAGTAGTCAGAGATTTTTAAGTGCTGATGGACGACCCAGCGTATCTTGCATCGCGAATATGGGAGATTCCTTAATCAAAGCTTATTTGGAGAGTGATCTGTGCTTGTTTGGGAGATGATCAGTGTCAGACACTGATTCTTAAAAAACCTCATTCATTATTAGCTTCTACAGTCGTGCGCTGTAAACAAACCGGATCATTTTTCCTGAGACCAGACGATTTCCATTGTCTGTCCGTTTCTTCAAAGTAATAAAGCTGGATAAAATGAGATTTAAATAAACTTATTCGAGTGTTGACGTCAATGCAAATTTGGTTCTAGCGAACAATGTTCTCGATGAGACATATAAGTGGTGAAGTAAACCGCTCATAAAGTGATTCACCAATCTATTAAATTCACTGAGATTTATCAAATGAACAACCAGTGCAAATTATTTACTAATCAACGTGACATTGTGGCTTTCTATCTTTAGGCCTGTTGTTATTATTTGGAGCCTTCTTGGCCTGGGAAACCCGCAAAGTGCATATCCCTGCTTTAAATGACAGCAAGCTGATTGGCTTGTCCGTGTATAACGTCATCATTCCTTGTATCCTCGTAATTCCTATTCTTGGTGTTGTCGCTGACCGACCTAATATCCAGTTTTCCTTGTCCTCGTTCCTCACCATCTTCAGTACCTCGTTTACTCTGAGTCTTGTTTTTGTTCCAAAGGTTAGTTTACTGAGTAATTTTTGATAGCTTAGCTTCGAGTTGTGTCATGAACACGTCTGCTTCTTTCACCAATTCGTGCAACTGATAAAAGCATTCTATTCGACTCCGGATCGAGTGGTCCGGGTTCGAGCCCTGGCCAGGGTCATTGTGTTGTGTTCTTAGGCAAAACACTTTACTCTCACAGTGCTTCTCTTCACCCAGGTGTACAAATGGGTACCAGCAAATATGCTGGGGGTAACCTGTGATGGACTAGCATCCCATCCAGGGGGGAGTGGCAATACTCCTAGTCGCTTCATGCTAAGGAAACCGGAGTTAAGCGCCGGCCCCATGGGCCACCTGGGCCTGTATAAAGGCTTTACTTTTTTACTTTATTAGAAACATATACAGGAAACATCTTTATGGGTAAGTTTTCGTGTCGTATATAGTGCGCGACACTTGCGAAATTAAATTCGTTTTCATAATCGTAAAGGGTTCAGCTATATCTTCATCACCATGATATTCAACAAAGCTGGGGAACATTATACCATTACCATGGCAGTGAAGTTTTAGTTTTAGAATTTGAAACTAAATCATACGGTTTGTTTATTGTAGATAATGTTCTTAAGAACCGCAGACGACAATAGTTTTTCAACTGCCACTGGCTCAACTATGGAAGGTGGACGAATGTCATCGAAGGTAAAAATGCAATCAGCCAAAATAGATAAAGCAAACTATTCCCCTTTAATATTTGTTTCTGTTCAGGTAAATAAAGTAGACATAAACAAAAAAGCAAGCTTTAAGTCTTGTTTAATACTATCGCGTACCACTTTTAATCCAAAAAATGTTGCTAATGTTGCTAACACCATGTTTGCACGTGCTCTGAATGATACAAACGAAAGGTGGAGAGGATAATTTTTTCTTATATTTTTTCTTCTTTCATTTATTCCGAGCAGTTCGGTCCAAAAGAAAATTTGGGGGTTTCCTTTTTCTTTTCGCTTTTTTTTCTTTACTTACAGTGTTGTGCTTTTTAGGTGGAACCACAACATACTTCTAAAACAAGCGAGGAGAACACTAAAGAGACAGAAGAATGACTTACTATGTTAGATTTTAGAGAATTGCAGAGGAAATAACACCTTTCTTTAATATTATGGAGACATCCTGAAGCTTACAAGAGTCTTAGAGCAGGAAATTATGTTAATCGTGTTTGACGCAACAACAATTGCTTTTCTGTTATTAAAAAATTTTGTGGAAAAGTTCTTAAATTGAGCTGATTTAAGAATTTCACTTGCTTCGAGAAGTGGCAAAAAAAGATCTGATAAGCGCTAGAGCCTCTCTCGTATGCTTTTTAGGCTGTATTGAAGTTATAGAGCTAAACAAAAATACCGCATAAGAGCAAAAGTATCTAAATTAGAATTTCTTGTTTCGTAAGAAATCATTTATTAGCGTAGTACGTCTCCTGTTTCCGCTTGTACGGTCATTTTAAGAGAATGTCAAGATAATTGTCCCCAATGTTCTTTTGGAGACATGGCAACACTTACATGGACTAGTGCAACTTCAGAATGGAATACTGCCATATCAACCAGTCGAGTGCAATACTGGGAGAGCTTCGTGACCACCCAGGACTCGCAGATGCCACAGTTAAAGTGCACTTAACACTTAGAAATCAGCCATTCTGGGAAAAAGACAATATATTTCTTTCCACTGTAGAATGACCCTAAACTTGACGAGGAATGCAACGCGGAAGTACAGATGCAATCTTCCAAGAAGATACTGTAATATGCATTTACTTAATGTCCATTACAGCTAGCTTGGAAATAAATTCTGATATTCCTCAAGACCCGCGTCTCCTAAAATACTCTTATTTTTCCTATAAAGATAAACCCAAGCCCACATCATTTAAAATGATCTTTTCTCCATTCTTCCCACAGGCATCTAGTGGTCGGGCATAAGGAGCAAAACATAAGGATATTCTATTTGAGAGATGTGATCCCTCTGAAAAAAAAGAAAACCTACCAAAAAAAGTATAGAGCAAGTTTTAGTGGGCAGAAAGATCTTAACTGGTGGTACATGGCACCCCTTATTAACACCTTAAGTAAATTTACTAAAAAAATATCTGTTTACATTTCGGCCCTTTTTTGCTTACTGACTTCGGCGATGTAATTCAAGTTAAAAAATATTACTTAAAATGAAACTATGGCATGCAGTTTGGTTTTGGCAAACTATTCATTGCGAGGCGATTCAAGAAGTTCTTGTCACTACAACACAGATAAAAATTCCAAGAATGGAACTTTCCAAAGTATCAGGCGATTATGAGCGGTGGATAGCGGCGGGTAAGAAACCTCTATCGGAAAAATAAAGAGATGGCAAATCATTACCATTGTCAATTTGATCTATGGGAGAATTTGACCATATGTTTAGCCGATTGTCAGCTTCAGTCTTGCTCTGTGGTCTCAGGTATTCAGCTATTTCAACGAGTGTATTCACAAAAAATTGCTTGAACAGTACAAAAACCGAAAGAAACAAACTTTTATACAGCTCTGAGTTTGGCACCTTTATCTTGCTAATTGGCACCCACACAGTTGGAATAACACTAAAATGAAAAGAAAAAAATCAATTGTTTTACCATATTTTCGATTGGTCTTCGTCTCCTCCAGTTGGTTCAATATTTACAGGAACTTGTTAGTGTGCGTGAGGTCAAAGTTGCAGGTGAGGAGAATATGGATTATTAAACTGACACTGTGCAGTTAAAATAAACCACAATCTGTGAAGATAATCAAAAGCAAGCTAACTGTTACGGAGCTTTGTTGTTTTTTCAAGATGTTCTCTATCTTTTTTTTGCTTTTTATTTCTTCCTCGCTGGGAGTCCCTGTGTTAAAGGAAAATGGAGAAAAACGAGGTAAAGAAGTAGTCCTTTGCAAGAAGTCTACACACAAATTAATACGGTGAAAGCAACTTTTCAACCCAATTGAGCAGTCAACGATTGAAATTTTTTAAATTTCACCTGTAACAGCATATACACTCTGTCAGGTTTAATTTTTAAATTTTGAATTTTTTTTTTTTTTTTTGAGTTTATGACTCATAATACATGGAAATTACCTATTTCAAAGGTTTCTTTGGGTTTGAAAGATTTGAAGGAGACATGATGTTATCCAAGCAACAAATCGGAGCAGCAGAGCAAGGCCTGGATCCAACTAATTTAGGAGGAGCCCGTGGATTGAAACGCTCCGCCCAGTGGCCTGGTGGAGTGGTTCCTTATACCATACATTCGAGCGCGAGTGAGCATATCATGTCTGTCACTTTTTAATTTCATCTTTTGTCCTCCCATGACATAAGATTTCACCGAATATAATTGCAAAAATAGCCATCACTTCGCTTATTTTGTTTTTAAAAACGGAAAAAAAAGATGAGATATGAAACGCGTTGTGTGCTTTAGTTATGCATTAAAAATATAACGGTTACCAGATTATTTTCTGTTCAGGCAAAACGGAAAAAAAAACTAGCATTTATCTTGATATTTATCTAGAGAAGTATCTATTTAAAATAGTTCGTGACGCATTTCCAAATGAGATCATAAAAGAATATATCACATAGAGCTGTATTTATGAAATGTTACTGAATTAACAGTAGAGTAGTGACTTGTCATTAATTGTGTGATGTTAACGATATTCTTATCAATGATTCAGAAAACAAATTTCTTAATGCAATCGGAATAAAGGGACCAACAGAGAGAGTAATATATAGCGCCATGAAAGAATGGGAAGAGAAAACTTGCATTCGATTCGTACCCAGAACTACCCAGAAAGATTATGTTGAGTTTTTCGCCGGAGAAGGGTAAGATGCTATTATTGTTAAGTTTGCGTGTGTGTGTGTGTGTGTTAATTTGCTTGTTTTACACGAATTGAAAAAAATCGAATTTAAATGAACTATAAAATCTAAATTAACAATTTGAAATCAGCTTAATTCAGGTATAGTCCTGTTTGCCACTGTCGACCTTAAGCCGGTGTTTAATGGAGAACAACGTTTTCCCTTATTGAGGTGTTAGCTACAGTTGCATGTCGAGATTTTGGTTTAACTTGAAAGAAATGATATAGATACGAAATTTTCGGCAAGGGAACGTACACTTCTCTCAGTTTTAATAAAGACATCTTTAAGGTGACCACTTCAATATTACTAGCAAGTCCGCTTTCCTTTTTATTGTTGAAGTCCGCAAAAGTGTCTTGATAATGTATTCCTCTCTCATATAGATGCTGGTCGTATGTCGGAAATCTTAAAAACGGGAAACAGCAAATTTCAATCGGTAGTCTTTGTTACTTCCACGGTATCGCGTTGCACGAGATTGGTCATGCTCTGGGTGGGTATAATGTCGTTTTCTAAATAAAAAGTTACTCCAACTCAAATAATTAAGAGACGAGCTGAGTCTTGTATTAGACCACATGCCAATGTTTATAGGATGTATTGCTGAGAAGGACCTGTCCCTGGAATTAATAAGGATGGGGTAAGGAACAGGTTACAGGAGGTAGAAAACATCCCTTCGGGGAAAGGGAACAGCAAAACTCTGACCAAAACCTGAACTGTAAGACGCTCTTAAAAGTTGAATGGTCATGCCTTATTTCCTGCAGTGTAATGGTAGAGATCATTTTTGTCTTATCGTGATGAATTTACATGAAAGCGAACTGCTAATTGCGAAATTATTTATCAAATATATAAATAAATGTCTTTTGCAGGATTCTGGCACGAACAGAGTCGCCCAGACCGAGACGATTATGTCGAAATTGTTTGGGATAATATCAAACCAGGTAATTAGTGAGCCGAATATAATGGAACACCCGTATAGCTTGAATCCAATTGTTATTTGCATGTCGATGTTCGGACCCTCGAGCTTTGTTTGTATGTTTCTGTTAGCAAGGATTTGATATTAGCACAGCATTGCTTGATGTGTTGACCAGGGTTTCCCTTTATTCCGCGAACTGATTATCAATCCAGTCCGCTCACTCGCTAAAAGGTGGCAATTTTTAAACTTTTTTTTTGCAGAGAACAAGCATAACTTTAATAAGTACGGTCACGGTTCCATCGACAGCTTGGGTGTTCCGTATGACTACGGATCCATAATGCATTACGGCAAGCGAGATTTTGCTCGCTGGCCTTGGCAGACCACCATAAGACCCAGGAAATCTGGGGTGTCTATTGGTCAGCGGAGTCATCTCAGTCCACTGGATGTTAAGCAAATGAATCTCTATTATAAATGCAACACCAAAAAATAAGGCCAGTCAGATGTCTATTCATCATATGATGGATGAACTTCGACCAAGGAGTGAATAAATAAATGAATTAAAAGTATTTGTGTCTGCTCTATCTTTCGCTGTGGCTGACACAGTGTGCAACAATCGATCAATCGAAATTACACTGGCCGTTAAATGACGCGGTTGTAAAGATTTCAAAAGGGAAAGAGCAGAGAGCATACATCAGCGATCAAAAGAAATAATTAATTAGACAAATAATCTATAAAATATTTTCTCAAACTGTAATCACTTCCGATTTGGTTGGTAAAGTTCCGACGCATATTGCGGTCAGTCTTTCCTTAATTTTCCAACCAATCATGGCACATCATATATGTGTGACTTCCTCGCTTGGAGAAGCCAACAATACGCAGTCGAAAGATAACGACTCACTTCAAAAATGAAAAAGATAACGCTTTTCATGAGATAATTACTTATACGTCACAGAAGAAGCCTCAATTTAAGATTTTTATTAATCATCATTTCAAGGGGTGTTTTGTCCTTTGTTGAGCCAGCCCTTGATTGTGACGCGCTGATGAAAAAGAAAGATTGATTTAATTGTCTAAAATGGTGTAAAAAAGAAAAAGCAGTCGTGAGACGCGAATGAAAAAATTGCATCATCCAACATCATTTGCCATAATAGCTCAACGGTATGCTCCTAAGGTCACTTTATTATTCTTATAACAAATAGTCGTAATAGTGGTAGCACTAGCA